GTGCGAGTTTCATTGAGTCTCTGCACATCGGGTATGTTGCATTCAGTGCATTCCGTGCCGTTTCGAGTCTGAGATGATCTAGCAGCAGCGACCTTCCTGCTTGCATCCAAGCCGTCTTGCCATACCGTCAATCGTTTAAATGTGAGGAGTGCCTTGCCATGGCTGATCCGCGCCTGGAGAGGCAGTTGCGCTACTACTTCAGTGATAAGAACCTCTGGAAGGATGAGTGGTTGGTGAACCAGCTCGGTGCTGAGGCAACTGGCTATATTTCTGCTGATATCATTGCTGGGTTCAATCGGGTACAGCAAATCACAAACGATTTCGAGTTGATAGTATCAAGTTTACAAAGAATCGTGGAGCTTGAGGTTAGTGATGTGGACGGGAAGGTGCAGGTGCGACGACGCTATCCATTGCCACCTAAGCCACAGGTCGAGCTGGACACACCCTGCAATGAAACAGCCGCTGACGAGCAGGAACTCCAGGTCGCGTCAACACCTGTGCCCGATGATCTGGGAAACCTTGCTTCCTTAGATGAATTCTTTCTGACCGGATTTCGCAGAGTTCCCAAAACAGGCGTCATTTTTGTGATGGATGAAGCCAGCAAAGCTGGATATTCTGCTTCGACCGCACAAGAATGGGCGAATTTGGGGCAAGGTTCGCCGGAGACCACGAAGGCCAAGAACTGGCCTACGAATGTCAGAAAGCGCCTGACGGAGCTGGTCGAGAAAGGGAAGCTGTCATCGGAACTCGGCCCGTTCCAACTTCAGGCCCTGGAAGTGAACGAGGAGAATCTGCACTATGGAAGCGTGAATGGCGACTGGGCTTTGCGCCGTGCAGTCGCTCGACTCTACAATGAGATCTATCGCAAAGGGAAAAGCTCCCTGTATTCTGCGGAGAACGTGGCTATAGTTGGTGGAGGCCGTCTCGCCCTGACACGGTTGTGTTGCGCAAGCCTAAGCTTCACTCATCCAACATTGGGCCGATGGTGGTGAGCACAGATTTGCAAGTCGCTAAGCTTGGACTGGGACTTAGTGTGAAGCTTCTAAGGTGCAATGGACAACGTCAATTTGGGCCATTTCCTACCGGACACTTCGTGTGCATGTCCTCACAGATGACTACTCCTGAATCTTACACGCCAAACAAATGTGTGTTTGAAGGCAGTCCCCTGCAAAGGTTTGGAGTCTCACCTGGTCCTCCTCATGCACACATCCCAAGCATAGTCACGTGGGGTAGCGGTCCTCACAGAAAATTCGTTCAGTGGTGTGTAGAACGATCTCTCGGCTTCAGCTAGTTTCGGAATTTTGAATTCGAAACAAGGAGGCTTGGCTGCCAAGTACCTGCGGCAGTTTAGCACAGAGCGAACAGCAGAAAGTGCTGTTTTTCTGCATGTTCTGATGATGTGCCGCCGTGGAGACTGCGCTGTTGCAGGACTACACAGCTTATGCCGAGCTCCTTAGCCAGACAGGGGCTTAGATCCCGACGGTGAACTGAGTTGAACTCATCATCTTCCCAGCGCAGAAAGCTTTGGAGCGCAGCCTGCTCAGGTTCAAAACCATCAACTCCATCCCTATTCCTTTGGATCCGAAGAACAACTTCCGGATCACGTTACAGGACCCTGACAGGAAGCTCATTGAGGGCTGACGCCAATGGTGCCCCAATCCACTATAAGGGCCAGCTGAGAGCCATGGTGTGTTTGACCCATGCCCAAGCACGTCAGCTGAGGGAATACAGTTGCATGCAGCAAAAGTAACAGGTTGCGTAGGCAACTTCTTAAATTTCAGTGCATGCGTGCGTGCGTGCGTGTGCGTGTGCGTGTGCGTGTGCGTGTGCGCGTGCGCGTGCGCGTGCGCGTGTGGGTGTGTGTGTGTGTGTGTGTGACTTGAGGAAGTTTGAGGCAATGGTAGATTCGTGAGCCATTATAGACGTCCTGAGCTTCACACATGTGCAGCGATGTGCTCATGCAGTTTGCATGGGCTTGGGGATTGTAAGGACACGACAAGCTCAGAGTGCATTTCACTGGACCACTTTTGGTTCAGGCCGGTGGCTGGAGGCCTCAGCAGGCTAAATGAATGCACTGAACGTCGTGTTGGTACAGCGGGGTGGGAAGCCTGATATAGGAAGAACAAGTTGGGCGGTGGGGCGAAGGGGCTCGGGGAACACGGCTGCGGGTGGACCCCGCAACCACTGTCAACAAAACCACCCACGTCGAGGTTTTTTCAGAACGGAGTGGGGCGGGACGTAGGTGAAGGCAGCACGGGGAGAGTGGCCTTGCCTCGAGGAGTGTCCGTGCTTACCACTCGACGGCCTAATAACAGTGACAATACATGTTACAGACGGCAAAAACAACCAACACTAACAACGGAAGACACGGAGACTTGCCCGCAGCCGTCCCAACGACAAAGCTAAACATGCCCCTGCTACCACCTCCCTGCAACAGCCGATCGAAAGCCACCTCCCCTAGTATTTCCTGATTAGTTCGCCACTAAGTCCTGAGTTTTACAACAACTAGTTCTTATTGTCCCCTGAACATTTGAGTGATGAGTATTGATGAGGGCCTGTTTTGTTGCTGTTCCCTCTGTCTATTCCCATTCTCTCTATCCTCTCTATGGTTCTGTTTCCCTGGCTTTTCTTTTCATCTCACGATGTGTAGCTCCTATCATGTTCTATTGCTTTGCATTTGGCTTGTTACTGTGCCTTTTTTTTCGTGTTAGTGTTAGCTACTTGCCTGTTATTTTGATGTTCTATAGTTCCTTTGCAGTGTCTAAGCATCACCGCACCTTTCGAATTTTGGAAGGAGCTCCGACGCGAGATTGTGGGTCGTGGCCTTTCAGTTCTTCTGTTGTCAAATCCATGCAATCCCACTGGTCAGCTGGTGGAGGGCGAGGAGCTCCTGGCTTGCACAGAGCCCCTGGTTGTGTGGGTAGACGGCACTAGACATGCTTGTGATACACATGCACTTCCGAGGTATAGTTAGGCGTTCATTGCGAGAAATATGTTGCACAGGTTCTGGCTTGTTGTGAGTGTTGAACGGTCCGCGGTCCAGCATGCCTGCAACGTGCGTTCATGGGTGTTCCTGAGCATTTTCCGACCGAGGCTGAAGAATTGGGTTCGGATCGCCAGAGAGACGCAATGCTCTATAGTGTTGGATGAGATCTATTCTCGCTACATCTACACACAGCGAATGTCGCCAACGGATGCGACATGGCGCACGGTGACTTCGCTGCATGCTGTACAACTCATGCAGCTTCGAGTTTCCTTTTCAGCAGAAGTGGAGCTCGACCGGGACTTGTTGAGGCAATCTGTGTCTTGTCGACTGCAGGTTTCAGCAGCTCAGTTTGTGGAGGATGTGGACAGAGATCCAATAATCATTCTCGATGGCTTGACCAAGCGACCGGGCTGTTCGTTACCGATCGCTACAGTATGGCAGCTTTAGACCCTTGGACCAGTGCCATGAGGTGCTGGAGGATGCCAGGTTTGCGGGTGTGCTGGATCGTGGGCCCAAAGTCCCTGATCGACTCTGTTGGAGCAGCTGGATCCTTCCTGGAGCCCTGCAAAAGTCCTGCAGAATTGGCGCCATGCACAAGTAAGCTCTAGAAGCCCTGGAAGAATATGGCCAGGACGGAGGCCCCTCGCTTCCCACACAGAGGTCCTGCGTCCCGTTGGTCAACCCGAAGGACACGCCGCAACAGCATCTGGTAGCCGGTCTTTGCCATCGACCGCATCCGAATTTTTGCGAAGAAGATGTGCCGAACGCACAGGATGTAATTGAGCAAACCATCATGCTTCAGGCCGGGCCGCGAATTCCTTCTCATTCGTGTTCGCAGTTCCTGGCAGGTACTGTTCAGTCACAAGCGAGACTTTCTGCTCCGAAGATTGCAGGAGCTTGTCTGCTCGACAGAAACCCGAATTGTGGGTGATGGTTTCTTGTGGCAGGATATGGGTATCGTCGTGGAGCATCCACCACAGGCCAGTGTGTCAATGCCACCCAGATCGTGCAGCAGTTATCTCTTTCTTGTGAGGGCACCTTCTATTGCTGGTGCGATATCTCCAAGCTTCCAGCTCCGTTGAACAGTTGCAAGGGCCCGAGACTCTGAGAGCGGCCACGCAGCATCGGCTCCGTGCTTCAGGCTGGGGCTTCTTCCGTGAGCTACTGCGAGAGAAGGCAACGGCAGCACAGCACAGTGAAGAGATGACGAGAGGAATGCGGGGGATGCGGGAGGTCATTGTCACTCCCGGCGTCTTCTTCGATGTAAACCCAGGGAGCCGGAGGTGGCTCCCTGCCATGGCCATTTTCTGTTTGTGTCAACTTCCATGCCAGGAAGTTCAACAGCTACGACTCCTTCATCCGGCTGTCATATGGGCCAAGTTTCAAGGCTCGTCTTCGTTCGTGCAGTCCGAGCATGTCCGAGCGAGTGTCCGTGTGCAGTGCGAAGTGCGAACATCAGGAGGTGCAACGTGGATTGGACGGCATGCAGCGTGTCATCGAGCGCCATCGAATGAAGCGGCTCGAAGAAGACACAGCCAGCACGCGCTCCTTCGGAGAGAGATGATCTGACCAAAGCTGTCAGATCTGCGGCTCGGAGCCTGGCACTTAAAGTCCGGTTGCACGAAGTCAAGGATTGGTCCCATGGGTGTGGTGAATTGCAGGTTTTTGGGGCAGAACAGCCCGAGTAGATCTGTCTGCTTAGAGTGATCCAGAACCTTGCGGCCGGCAGCTTTGCTCAGTACATGAGACTGAGATGCCAACAGGACTGCAGGTCCGTCCACGTGAAGATCAGATTCAATTTGAGCAAGCAGCAGCGAATCTGTATTGCTTCTTCAATCAGACAGGAACCGACCTTGATAACCATCACCCCAACAGTCATGTGCGTCAAGTACAGCACAGACTCTGAGCAAATACAGCACAGTCGACAGCCACGAGTTGATGCCTCCAGTGACCTTTGACTAAACCGGGCCCTCATCATGATATTGGCGGTGGCAGTCTCACGCCGCCCGTGCTCATGCAGGATTCATGTGATAAGATTGGAAGGGGATGTTGAGTGGTACACGTAGAGGTTCTCATAGCAAGGTCTCCTTGCACTCGTCATTTTCGGCAGGACTCCAAGGACGAATCTCATGCTGTCTGCGTGGCGCAGATGAAAAAGTTGCTGAGATGCAATCCTGTCAGCTATCTCCTGTACAAGAGATGCCTGCTTTGTATGATGTACTAAGGCTTGACGACGAGGTCAATGAGGAGCTGGTTGCCACGGAGCCCTCGGAGGCATGGCCTCAATATACATGCTCCGCGACTTGCAAGCTGTGCCTGCATTGAGGAGACTGCCGAAGACAAGGCGACAACTCGCAAGTGAACTTTTCAAGTTCATGTTCGAAGAGCACAGTGGCTGTAGAGTCTCGACCACACACAAGGCTCCTTCCCCCTCGACAGAGACGAGAAAGTTCCTTCGATCCAACCGATGCTGTTGACGCCGTGCGTTGTTGGTGCTACCATTTTACCAGTGTCCCGAGGCTTCAGGACGAAGACAGTCAGAAGCTTGCTCCCTCGGTACCTCGTCAGGCCGTTGCGAAAGCACACGGCTTCGTTGGAAGATGACGGTTTTCCTTCATTCCCTAAACCAGGAAGCTGAGAATGGCGGAGAGCAGGAATCCTTTATCCGGCGGAAGCATGCAGACCCTGCATGATGCTACGTTGTTGCCAAGAGGACTCGGACGATGATTTTCATTCAGCCTTCATGGCGGAGATGCGAAGGTGCTGCATCGGTTTGGTTGATCAGTGGATGTTTGTGTGGTGCTCGCAGGCTTCATGGCGAAGACCGCCAGAAGCTGAACACTTCGGGGCCTTCCGGGCAGATGCCCGAGTGGTCCAAGGAGGGCGACACGGCAGAGCCAAAGACGTTGCATGAAAGCAAAGCTTTGCTTTGCTCCTGGGCCCTGGGCAGGACTTCGAGGCCTCGGCGAAGTTCCTGGGAGCCCGGCCTGGCTTCGTCTTCAAACGCGGCCGGCGCGGGTGCGCCGTCCCCTGCCCTGCAGGGCCAGGGCCAGGGCCAGGGCTAGGGCCGTGGGCGTTGCTTTAAAGGGGATCCTTCGGAGGCTCGGCTACTACCGTGACCTCGGACCTTTCCACGACCCTTCTCAGGCCGGAGCCGGAGAGTTTTCAGTCTCTTCTGCGCTTGCATGTGAGCAAATCGTGCGAGGAGCGGGCACAAGCGAGTGGAGCCACAGCCTTGTGCTGTTAGAGAGTCGTGCAAGTGTTAAAAGCGCCTGGTAGGCTTCCCCAGCATTGCTTCGCCCAGGTGTTGCCCGACTTCCGTCGAACTCGCAAGGCCTGCGAGCTGTGAAGGGGACCGTTTCATCCATCATTGTTATCTTGCGTAGTAAAGGCCAAGAGGCCTTTGGAGGAGGTCGACGGTGTGTCGCTTACGTCTCCTGAACGTCGAGGTGAACCACATCTTCTGGAGTGTGCTGCCCAGGTGAAGTTGCAGAGCAGGAAGCAGATGATGAGGCGGAAGAAGACATGGAGGAGAAGCCAGATGTTGGGTTTATAGCAATGTATCTTACGTTCATCTGCGAGGAAGATCCCGACGAGGCCATGGAAACGTGCTGGAGTTTCCGAAGTAGCGAGCGCGACACTGAGGCCGAGGCGGCCGAGGCGGCCGAGGCGATAGAAACTTCGGATGCCAAGGCTTTGCTCGGACACGGCTCGAAACGATCAGTCTCTGAGTCCCGACCCAGGGCCAGGAGACAGAGAAGGTGGTGGAAACCAAGAAAGCCGAGAGCTCATTCTTGGACTTTGCCATACTTTGCCTCTATGCATAGGTCCCGCTTCTCAAGCAATGCTCACAGGAGAAGCGACGGAAACGACGCGAGGCAAAGGAAGCCGAAGCCAAGGCGAGACACCCCATATCAATGCTTAACTACGACGTGGGAGACTTGAAATTTCTGCCGCCGTGCAGTACTGTTGCGCCCCGAAACGCCCTGAAACGTGACTGCAACGAGTACTGAGCCTGATCCCAAGCTCGACCCCATACAGTTGTAGTCATTGATGAGCTTACGGGAAATAGTCACGGCGATCAAGTGCAGCTGGATGCCCAGTTCATACAGCTCTGCCCGGCGGTTGCTGCTGCTGAAGTTTCAATCAAAATTATAGTGAAATTATGGTCAAAGGCCTTTTAGCGGATTGTATGGACTCTATTCGGATACTGGATTTGATCATCGGGGGAGGCGAGGCTAGCGGGAACTGCACGCCATTCTTCGGGACCCTAGTCTGCGTTGGGACACGTTTCATTATGCCTCGTTCCCAATTTTTGCAACAATTTCTCCGATCGTGGCCGTTCAATTGCAGGATTCGATCAAGATCACTTGTTGAGGATTCTGTAGCTCTATGTGACGTATTTTTCGAAAACGTGGTCGAGGTACCGTATTTCGGATTGGCCGTTGAATGTGCATGTCGTAGTTCGACTATAAGGCATTATGATAAACGTTCGGAGTCTATACGTGAATAACCGGTCTTTGCAACAACAACAGTATAGAGGGCCTATATATCACCTAGTGGGGATCAAGTGTTGAATCAGTATCCGGCAAATCATCGTAGATCCCAGTAAGGCACCACGACAACCATGACGACTATGACAACCACGAGCTCGATCGTAGCATCAAGACGCTGTCCCCTTAAGTACTGGAGCCTTCAGGACCACACCCCGAATCCTTTACCACACGTACTCGTCGGATTCAGGAGGATTCGGGAGCGCGGCGAGGGTGCTTCTTCAAACACTGGTGGATCCAGGGCCATGGCGAAAACGCTTTTCCCCAGGCCACAGCGCTTTTCGCTCCACCTTAACTGCTGGACGGATCCAGAAGGACACCTTAAATCTTTTCCGCACAAAAAGTGGTCCATGTATTGCAATTTTGTCATATCCAGCCTGTGTAGTTGGATGTGGGGATCACATTTGCGCCGCATCCTGCAAACAAGAGGGATGCAGGGAGCCATTTCGGTGTGGAACCCTCGGTGCCACCGTAATCAAGTAATTCTTTTTGCATCCTTTTACCCCGTAGTGCTGTAGTGTTGCCACACTTGTTGGGCAAATACATTGGGATCAACTCAAAGATCTGTTTTTTCTAAAACAGCTAAATTAGAAATAAAGCAGCTTTTTGCAGGCCTTTTTCAGTAATATCCCTGGATTTGAGTTCCAAGAAGTGTCGAGCGCTGTAGATCGTGTAAACGGGTATATATATATATATATACATACACATATACAGTTTTTCTTTTATAACAAGAAAACTAGCATATATTCTAGTTTCACATATTTTATAACGTTTTATGCTACAGGCTTTATGCCATATTACATGCTTTAATACCATACGTATTGTATATGATGCTTTTTATAGTTAACCGGTTAGAGTTTTTGCATTTTCGGTTGTAGATTGTCTTGTATATGCATGTGTATATATGCTAAATCATATGTTCTATATTCTGTAGCCTATATAGCATACACGATTCTTTCCACAGAGTATAGATTATATACTACATGTATATGTGGTATTGCATGTTATACACGTTTCCGGTACATGTTGCGTATATATGTATATTTATATACAGTGTAATTACTATATACATATCTAGGTTTTGTACATTATGTAAGGTATATGCTAAATTCGAGCTTTTACATACCAGATGCTATGTATCAGGATCTAATCTTGGAATACAGCCAGCTTGTGCATGCCGAAACACATACTGTTATTCTATGCTATGTTGTAGTGGTCATGGTTTTATTTCGTGCCATATTTTGTTTTATTTGTGCTACGTTTTTTCATACCACATAAATCTCATAGCATGGTAGGTTCCCATATAATGATGCTACATTATACGAGCCGAGTTCGTTTCGCCCAGTGTGCATCTCGCAATCAGGATGACCGAAACTTTTCAGGTTGTGGCAGCTGTGCTTGGCCATGCCTATCGTTCCCAGTTCGTTTCGCGCGGTGACCAAAATCCGTCACAATCCAGCTGAACACAACAGGTCCTCTGTAAGTAACAGTGCCGAATCAGTTGTTGTTGAGGCCAAGGCAGAAGCAGCGAAAAAGCGTGCTCGAGACGGCTTTGGTGAGGGCGATGGGGATTGGATGGACAGTGATCCCGACAGGCCTTGCTCCCAGCATATTCACCTTGCAGAATGTTTGCTTTGCTTGCAGGGCTTTCCTGTGGATCACGCAGACTACAGGAGCGAGCAGTCGAGTGAAGAACAGATGGAGTCCTACTTCGATTTGGTCAAGCGGTACACCACGAAGAAAACGCTGCCTACGGCAAGCCTGGCATGCTTTCCTTCCTACTGATAGTAAGTGTATCGGCCACGCGAAAAAGCACTTGCTGCTCTGTCCAAGGCGTTGAGTTGAATGCAAGCAAAACACGAGCGTGCTGCAGTCAGAAGACCTTTGCCACCATGTCAGACAGCAGAACTTGGGGAAGCCCTACAGCGCGCGAGGCAGCAGACCCGAAAGTCGTCCCGAAGATTAAACCCTAGATTGAGGAAGACAGGGCAAACCCCAACGTCGTCCCAAACATGAAACCCCAAAAGCGGTCAAGGCAGAGCAAACCGAAAGTCGTCCCAGCAAGCCAAAAATGCGAGGAGAAAATAGCGGGAGTGAACAAACAACATTTAATACAAAAATGACACAGGGGAACGGGCTATACTTTCTCGGGCAACCTTCGGGACGAAGTGCCTTTGTTTGATTCCTTCTCACACAGAAGAAAGTCTTCCCATCCAGTCCAAGTCGTGGAATCCAGAATGGCTTATCTGGATGTATATGTGTTCATCTTCGGATGATGACGTCGATAACTAGCGGAGAAGCTTGTTAAATGCATGCTCGTTGTGAGTGATTTCGATGTGTTTAAAATCCTGTGTGCGCACTTACGTAGACGCTGCAAGCACTCATCATGTTCGTAGGAGCAAACCATCGCCAAATGTGTTGTCCTCATCCATTCTGGACATGACTTCTCTCGGCGATGTGCATGCTGTGTCCTCCAAGTCTTGGTTGGCAGATGTCTTGCCGAGCTCATGCTGTGTTCCGCTGTGTCTCAACGCGTTTGCTTTTGAATCAGATTCGCTTTTCGTCGTCTCAAGGAATCCAATGGTGTGCATCCACGAAGCACGTCGTGCTTCGATGGGGGCTGCTCACCGTGTCGAATCTGGTCCAACCGGCAAAGTCCGCGGCCTGAAGGAAGCATGCGTACATGAAAAACTACTTGTAAATCTCGCAGCCATCAAATTACGTGTTCTCAAAAACGATGCAGCCGCACTCGGACTGCATGTGAAGTGTAGTTAGTTCTTCCGCGGTGGCAGGTGTCTGACGAACATCTTGTTTTTGTCTTTGCCTGTGACTTCTTGCATCCATGCTTATGCTCCCTGAGCAGAGCTGGAACTTCGACTCTTCGTCGGGGCCTTGGGCTATGAGCTTGAGTGTTGACTGTTTGGGCCTTCTAAGCTCCGAAGTTCCGTGATCTTCCCCGGCCGTGTGCGGTCTGGAGCTGGGTAGTGCTTCAGGTCATTTCTGCTGCTTATTCTCCCGTATGCCTGCCTATTGCAAGCTCCTGGCAGAGTTTGACCTTAATTGGGTCTGAGCTTAGCTTGATCCACTATGAAGACTTTTGTTGCCCGATTGTTTGTGTCAGATTTCCTTGCAAGGACCTGGTGCATTGCTGCTAAGCTGAACCTGTTGCATTCATAGGACATGTAAAGCAGCATCAGTGTGGAAAGCAAGATGTTCGTCAGCAAAGTTGCCATCTGTGCCATCATTGATGATTGGCCTGGCGGCTGCTGTTTTCCTGGCCATTCCCAATGTCACAAGTTGATGGTTCCAGCCGACCTCGGGAGTCTGGCGTTTTGCGAAGTTGTGCCTCAACATCTCTTTTTTCCTAGATCCTAAATGGCATTCTGGCGATTACACAGGCTTTGTACTTTCAGCTGCACAGCTGGTGGCATGTGTTCTAGAGCGCTTCACTCTCGATCTTCTTGAAGACATGCTTTGAATGCCTTCGAGTTGCACCACATGGCAGGTGGACCATGATAAGATCGAGTACAAGTCCTTCCGCAAAAACTTGTATGTGCAGGTGGAGCTTCGTGTGTGAAACGATGGAACGGTGTTGCACAGAAGCGCAGGTCAAAGAGATCACGAACTTGAAGGATCACGAGGCAGCATCATGCGGCATGCATCCCTGGTATGCCTGTCAATGAGGCACCGACTCTGACAGGTAGCGGATCTCAGAAGAACACATGGTGACATCACAGTCAGGGGGAAGCCGGTGGCATAGACCTGCCAATACCTGCCATAGCCGGCGGCCCGTTCTGGCCGATGCTGCAGGCGATGCCCGAATCCTGTCACAAGCTTCTTGCAGTCAGAGCCTGAGTTTGTTAAGCGTCTAGTAGTCGTGTATGGTTGTGTGCTTCTGCTGCACAGACCAGGTGTGGCTTGCCTGACAAGATCATGAAGATCATGGAGAAACGTGACTATGAAAAGCCATTCCCTATACAAATGCAGGCAGGATGCCCGAAACAGAGGAACGCATGAACACATGCACATCACGACTGTCACAGTAACAATGATGCCATCGCCGCAGCAGCAGCAACAGGCGCAGCCGAAAGGTAGCAACAGCAGCTGCGGCAATTCATGGGGGCCATGGGCATCCGCCGTAACGAAGTCATCATCATGAGCATCACCACCAACAGACGAATGCAGTTGCCGGTGCACTCGAGACTCGAGTCTTGTCAGGCAATTCCTGCGTTGATGTGCGGCCGAGACGTCATAGGCCACATCCTTCTGGTCTTGGTCGAGTTTTGTTGCGGAAGTTCAACAGTTTGCCTTTGATCTTGAGTCATACAGAGAGCGTGTTGCCAACGAAACGCAAGGTGTCGCCCAGACAGGTTCCGGCAAGACTCTTGCGTATCTGCTGCCGCTCATCAGGTGTGTGGTCCGTGTGAAGCGATGCTACCGAGAAATGCAGAGCACGTCGCAGGCACATCTTAGACCAGCCGAAGCTTGGAAATGGTGATGGCCCGATTGGATTTGTGGCTCTGACCCTAGCTCATCTCGTGGCATGTCCCAAGAAGGCTGACCGCAAGCAGCTGGCCTACGTGGCCTGTGCTATCGTGCCTGCATGTGGTGACGATCGACAATTTGACGAAGTTAGTTTGCAACACGTAGCATCATGTCTCTTTAGTTGGATGAGTGTTGCGTCGAGGTGTCTGTTCAGTGGGCGGTAGACAAGACTGCACGTTCGTGTGCATTTGTGGGTGTGAGAATCCTGCTACCCGTAGCCGCCACAGCGTTGCCAGCCTTATCGTGACGTGATTTTGCTCGAAGGTCGCACCTACTCGTGAGCTTGCGCTACAGATCCAGCGCGAGGCAAGCACTTTCTGCAAAGACGCCAGGCTGCACTCAGCTGTGCTACGGCTGCTACGGCAAGAGATGCTCACAAATTGCTGATGCAGCACAAGGCTGTGCACTTGATCAGCGTTTGCGCATACGGCGGCGGACCGATGGGTGAGCAGCTCTCGGCTTTGAAGAAAGGCGCCTCCGGTTAGTCCTTGCTGAGCTGTGATGGTCACACCGTGCAGGAGTAGAATGCTGCCTGAGCATATCTCACACTGTGGGCGGGTCCCGGGCATGAAGCGATGCTGGTAATTAGAACGAAGCCCGAACATTCAGAACCCACCCGTCACTGTGCGATGGCAGATTTCTCTACACCCACCCCCTGGCCTAGCGCTGAACACTTGAAGTGCGGCCGAAACACTGACCCCGCGGTGTGGTTTGACAAGCTTGGATAATGCCTTTATGACAGTATTACGTACACCCAATAGGGAATCGGCTTACCTTTCTGCCTGCCTTGTGCAAGAATGCAGTCTTTAGCCCCAGAGGTTGAGGATCGTGGTGCTGTTGCTGTATACCTGCCGTCCATCTCCACATCTCTTCGGGACACGGCTTGCTTGCCCTGCTACATAGAGGGCGCGGTGACAAACATTCGCTGTGGTGGTCTCCTTCCGGCACGCTGTCCAGAGATCTGGGCCATGATCGCACGAACCATGGTCGACGGTGCTGCCATGGACTCCTTCATGGGCGGTGTGATCTCCAACCTGGTTCGGAACTTGCCGTTGACCCCTGCATAGAACAGCCGAGCCCATGCCACGTCGTCACCATTCAAACCCAGGGAAAGGTTTTTTTGCAGGATAACCAGGGTGTTGCTGGTGAGGCCGTTGCGCTTGTCCGGCATCTGCAGAAGCACTCACAAGAGTGCCTCCTATTTTCTTTGCCATCGCGGACTCAACGCGAAGGTGTTTGCCCGTGATCGGCGTAAACCCATACGATTGCGGTTGACCACATTTCCTCAACCCGCCCTCTCATCAGGGGTTTTGGTAACAGGAGCTAAGCCCCGCTGCGGGAGTCGTGTCGCTGCGCGAATCCGCACGGCCAATGAATCGGCGAATTGACGTTTTCGATTGTCGGAATCGATCGGTCGTTCTGGTGCTTCCGGTATTCAGGAGTGTGTTTTCATTGTCACAGTGCCTTTAGTTTTTGTCAACAAAGCTATGGATCGAGATAGATCGCAGATGACATTACAACTAAACTGGCCTTCCATCGCTCTGTTCCGCACAGCCTCGATGCCTCGGAGCTCTCGCATTTCTGTCCTAATGTGTGCGCTGATATGGTGGTTTTTATTATGCAGTGGAGATCCATGTGCAAATCCATAGTATCGGAACTTTGCCTAGTCTGGGGTGAGGTCCTTACGAGGTCTCAAATCCCAGCATATGCTTGCAACACAGTCGCAGTGCAACAAGCGCCTTACGAGTCCTACGGTAGCTGTTTTCCGTCGCCGGATTGGGTCACAGTAGTTCATCCCTGCGCTACCTGAACCGTCTTGACTTGGCTTGGTCTCTGAGAGTGGAGATTGCCCGTGCATCAGGTTATCGCAATCTAGGCTTGGTTAATTTGTTCTGTCCCACTTGCAGGAGCTGAGCTGCTGGTCGGCACGCCCGGTCGCCTCATCGACGTTGAGCCCTCAGAGTTGGCGACATATTCCAGTTGCAACGAGAAAACAGCAGTTTATTTCGGGCTTCCGAGCGAAGTCATTGACCATATCTTCCGATGATACATCATGTGTTGCACGAAGGTCCTCACGACATCAGGTGGGAAGATCACCAACCTCAGACGAGTAACTTTCTTGGTATTGGACGAGGCGCCACAACAACGGTCCAGGATGCTAGCACCCTGCTCAACTGTTCCTTCGGGCCTCATCATGTGAGGCTGATCGCATGTTTGACATGGGGTTCGAGCCGCAGATCGGCATGTTCTTGCAGAGCACTCGTCCCGACAAGCAGGCGCTATGCAGCTGACTTGGATGACTGGTTGAAGTTGAACTACGTATTAACCTGCTCCTGCAATTCCGCAGGTGGCGATGTTTAGTGCAACTTTGCCAGCACATGTTGAAGCTTTGGCCAGAAAGGTTACTGACTCGGAGTTTAAGCATAGCTTAGCAAGTGCAGATCCGGCTTCTTGCACTTATGAGGTGCTGAAGAAGCCTTTGGAGATTTCTGTCATGATCCCGATCCAGCTACTGACTTTGGGGGTTTGGTGTTACGTGGATTTTTTGTGTCAGGTTGGAGAGAAGAACACAGCGGCTTCCAACGTGACGCAGTTCGTTGAGGTCATTTTTGTGCTATCAGCGCATCGGCCGCGAGACTGATGTGACTGTTTCTGCTTCTGCATGGCAGGTTCTGGATGAGAGCCAGAAGTTTTATCGGCTGCTTCAACTTCTGGGAGAGTGGCATGAGCACGGTGGCGGCCTCTTTTGTCGACCAGGGTGAGTTGTCATAGTTGGGATCACGTTTCCAGAGTCTCATGGGAAGGTGCAATCATGATTTTCGTCCATCAACAGAAGGACATGTTCTGACCGCGACTTGCTCTCTTTGCAGTCTCGGTTTCGGACGATATTGGCAGGACGTGGACGAGATGTTTACGGAACTCCTCAAGTATGGATACCCTCCGCTTGCGTTGCACGGGGGCCAGGCCTTTCTCGGCTGGCTGCAGACTGCAACTGAAGACCAGTGTTTAGTTTACATCGTGAAGGACCAGCAAGACCGTGATTTCACCCTCCAAGACTTCAAAGATGGCATATCGAACATCCTCATAGCAACATCTGTTGCTGCTAGAGGTTCGGCGCTGTTCATGAATTGTGTCTTGACGCAGACATGCGACAGGCATCGATGTCAAAAATGTCATCTTGGTGGTCAATTTCAAGGTGTTTTTACGGGGCAGGTATGGTTTGGACTCAGTCGTGAGTGATCGGAAGGTACCCGACCACTTGGAAGATTACATTCACCGCATTGGCCGCACCGGCAGGGCTGGGAAGCTTGGAGCTTGGTAAACCAGAGCTGCACGGAAGTGGATGCGAGATGATGCGAGTGTGAGCAGGGCAGGCTTCGCCTACACCTTCATTCAGCCTGATGAAGCAGACCGAGCTCAGGACCGCTCCGGTCTCCGGATTGAGTCGAGCCACCTTAGGCGGCAGCCCTGCAGGACCTGGTGGATGCGCTGCGACAGTGCAATCAAGAGGTACCCCTGAAGCTCAAGGCCCTAGCAGAGGACCTGCTGTGTTGTAGTCACCAGTGTGCTTACTGGTAGCCAGTCACCGGTCACCCTGCCTTGCACTGGCATAGAGGAACACCAGACTGCGGTGAACACCGGCCAAGCTGTTGACCAAGACAGCATCAGCTTAGAACTACTGCTCCGGGTTGGCCACAGCTCAGGCTCAAAAGCGAAAACGATGGGGTGGCTTTGGTCTGCTGCCCTGGCAGTTTTGTTTGTAGTCGAGCGTGTGTTGCCATCCGCCGCCGAGGAATGAATTGGGTTGGGAGATCCATCCTTGTTGGTCCTGTTTTATTTTCGTCTCTTCCGTTGCTGCTTTTATGCTGCTCCATGTTACTGCTTATCCACTCTCCGGTTGTGAGGTAAAGATAGGCCAGGAGCCATCGCAGCCCCGACAGTGAAATATGAAGACATGCATCTATGCAGTACAGGAAGCTTTGCACAGTGTGTAGCGGTAATGCACTACGTGAGTCCAGGAACGTCTCGTCGATGCCAGGCTCAAACAGGACATGCACCACAGTGCCCACAGTAAAAGTCCGGCGTGCTCCAGCTTTTGAGCACTCCTCAGGAAGAACCGTTTCTTAACAGGCCCACAAAGTATGCCCAGTTTAAACGACGGTGCCATGCAATATGGCAGCACAGATTGATGAAATCGCAGCTGCAGCTCTGCATGAAGCCCATCACACATCGACGGTTTGATGGGCACAACTGTTTTTTCGCACATAGGGTATTGCGAAGTTTTGTGGGTTGTCCGGTTAAAGTTTCCGTCTTGGATTTTTCCTAACGAACAATGGCTTAACATGTACACATAAATGGGTAATTGCATATCATTGTAAATTGTAGTGCAAACAAATCAGTAACAGACTTTCAGAGGATGCTGGGTTTGAGTATTAGGGCAAGTGCCTTAGGGCGGGAAGCCTCCAGCCATCTTCAGATGGTCCGGGAGCTCCAAGAAAAAAATACAAAAAATAGGCCGTGCGGGTTCGGGGACCATTTTTTTTGGACCCCCCCCTCCGCCCCCAGCCTTCCAGGCCTCGAGGAAAGGCTTGAAGGCTAGCGGCCTCGGCTGCCTTTGGTCTCTGAATTGAGCTCCCCGCGCGCGCTCGCATGCGGCTGGGCACCTGAATTCCTATGCAATTTTCTGGTCTGCAGCGCGGCTTATGTAAAATTTAAGTATGATATATGGCAAGGAGATATAGCTTCAGTAGACAAGTTAAATTTTAAACTTGACCCACCATTTTCCACGTGAGGTCCGCTCCGGAGGTAATCATACTTGTTTTCAACGCGGTAGCATATTCAGAATGGATCGTCCCGAATGCACTACTACGTCATATGATGTTGGCAAGGTTACAGTCCAGCATTGTCATCATGCATGTCAAATTCATAAGTGCAATTTAATAAGCCAAAAAACGAATGCATCCAAGGATGTTCATACCCACGTCTCGAATGAAATGCTAGAAAACTAAACTTTCGGAATCACTGTTGTATCAAAGGTGGAACAACAGTCCCACATATGTTATATATGCAATATTTCCATCTAACATACATGTAAGATAACAGTGGTAGCATGTCCGTTCCAACACCGATGGCAGAGAGTCGTAACTTATACAAGGCGATAAACACGCTTCCACAAGTTTTCTATCTTATACCTATACGGGCAGAAAGCACGAAAAGGAACAAGTCTGGTGATGCTGTCCTGAAGCTATGCATGCATATGCTTGACACTACAGACTGGTAGGCAGTGAGAAATATGGAACCAGGGTTGGAGAGTACATATGTTACTTACAAGGTGTTGATGTTGCGGTATACATCCATCCACGTCTGCTATATGTGGGGGGCAGGACTTCTACAGCATGCTGTCAGATAACGAACTTTCACTCCGTCTGTCTTACAAGAGGTTTGGTCGTGGTTGGCCCAGGTCGCTTCACAAAACTCACACTTACGGCAGCTGATATTCCCCCAGTCATATGGTGCTATAATGAAGCAAATGAAAGCACAATACTGTTGGTAACGCATCTGAAACTGACAGTTTTTGACGGAGAATGCACAATTCGGTGCATGTTTTTCCAGGTGCTCTCTGGGCTGACATGCTGTTCGTTGACAGTATCTCGATTCTTCTTTGCCCGTCGGGTAAACTGCTCGGAGTTTGAGGTAGTTCGAGAATCGCGCCTCTGCTCTTGAGGGTACGGAGTCCGTCGATGCATATAATATAGTCGTGTCCCCTCAGTCTCGTGTCAGACTGTCGTGTCATCACGACATTCATCGGTGTCTCGTCCTCCGTAGCATTTGCTTGACTGCCCGAAGACGCTTGACTCCTCAGAACAGAAGCTGCTTCGCTGAACAGCTTCCATACTCTGAAGGAAAGAGGATCTCAGTGCCTTGAGGATGGTTTTGTTTGAGCCGGCTGCCATAGAGCCTGGGGGCGGAACCACGGGTCTTGACAGCGTCTCCTCCTGGCGGTCTACCCTCCTCCTTCATGAAATTGGCGACCCATTGCTCCATGGCTCCTGCTACCGTACTACCCACTCCATGGTACACCCAGCCATTTCAGTCTCTTCCTATGGTGTTCTTTCGGACGCATTCACAAAACAGAGACAAGGCGGGAAGAGCTTCAAGTACGACAACACGGAGAAAAGCAGGACAGGGAAGAGTGCCGTCACTCGTAGCTCTCCGATCTGTACCATTCTGTACCATTAGCTTGTAGGTCTCCTGCCTGCACAGGCAGCAGCAAGAGCGGCAGCAGGCAAAGAGTGATCTTTTGATTGGAGACTTCGAGGACGCGCGGCGCTGCGGTTGTGCGGCTCAGGGCAGTGCACCATGTGCCACCTTGCCTTTTTCCCCTTTGGAGGAGGAGGACGAGTTCAAAGATCCTTGGTTGGAGCCGGACAAGCCGGCCAAGGGTAGAGGCAAGCAGCGAGATGACAATGCGCCTGAGCCTCAGAAGTCCAGCTACAGCATCACGTGGGCTTGCTTTTTGAGGTTTTCTGTTTTAGTCACGTTGTGCACAGGTCTACCAAAGCAGCCGGGACCACCGACACTGTGGCGGCAGCAGCCAACGTGGCTGCCAAGATGCAGGCACCCTTCTTGCCGACGTTTCATTGCTAGGAGTGCTTTAGCAGCTTCGATGAACTGCATCGTGGTGGGCTGCAGATGGCTCAGTCCCCCCCGATCCAGCCCGACCCATGACTACCATGTAAAATCACATAAACCACTTTGACAGCTCTTCGCCAAACCGATCAGCACTGGACCCAACTCATACCAGCCCAACCATCGTTTGCTGGCCTGCTGCTGCAGCTGTCCGACCATGTCGAAGCCATGGCTGTTTTCGACTTAGCTGCCCTTGTCAGCCTCGCTCCGGATGACACTGTCCTGCGCTCTGCCTTGCTGAGGTTGTTTCTGCTGCTGCTGCCAGGCAGGACCTAAAGCCGGCCGTGCATTGGCCGTTTGAGCAGAGGGCTAGACATTGAGTATGCAGTAGTCAGCAAGCTGCAATGAACCTGCAAGATCATTTTCAGCATTGGTGTGCATTCCGCATTCCAGCCCAAGGACACAAATCTTTTCAGAAGGCTAGGACTCCTAGGACACGTCAGCAAGAGTGATCGCCAAAGTCGGCTGAGGTCTTGTCAAATACCATGCGATGCGATAAGCAGTGCTGGCAGCAGTGATTCTTCGCTTCGTCGTTCGAGCTCGATCAAACCTCTCACGACGTGGAGGCAGCCTCGCCATGCGCGCTGCAGGCAAGAGCAGTGAGCATGTTTGGACGACGGCATTCGCAGGGTACGAGGGTTCGACTGGCAGGCGTGTCGACCATACCACCCAATGGCACAGTCTTCGTCACTAAGTTCTGCATGTCCTACAACCCACCAGAGAGGCCAGCTCAGCCTTGTACATGTCGCTAATTCCTTAACTCGGTCGCCGGTCGGATCATGATGCTCCTCTTTTTCTGTAGAGGTAACGGAAAATCAGCTGTGCCGAACGTGACAAAGCAAACGCCAGACCTGCATGCAGTCAGACCGCCTTTGCAGATTCGTAGGGAGAGATGGTGCCAGAAGCCTTTGGCACAAGGCCATGTAGGCTTTCCATCAGGTATAGTACATGGCTCAATCTTCCGCTCCAGCATTGCGTTGAACGCCGAATGAGCGCTTGACCTAATTACCTTCAATTGCCTTTGTCACCGTCGAATTGGCATGACAGGCTTTGACAACTGCTGCTCTACTTATTTAAGGGTGGGTGTTCCTGGCCGCTACAATGACACCATCACTGTTCAGATTCAATCGATGATGCTGCGGGTGTCCAGAAGCTTCTCCAAGCAGTTGCCATTTGATCAGATCTTAGGCTTATTGCATTGTTTTGACTTGACCTGACAGGTTTACTTGTCACGTGTCGTCTTCCAGCTGGGAGCCTCGTTAAGACCTGCTGGAGGTTTATTAAACTTGGGGTTTTGATATGTTTCGGCTGGTTTCTGCGAGTGCCCTGCTAAATAGACCCTATGTGGTGTTTCCGGGGGGTGGGGTGGCCGGCTTAAAACGGATATAGTCGCCAGCTGGAACCATGGGTTTTCACTACACAACAACATAGTATAACAAGAAAACGAAATGTAGCTGTGTCGTGGTTGCACGCTACCGACGTATCTCCGTACCCCGTCAATGCAAGTCTAGAACCCTTCGTTTCGCTTCGTCGTCATTGACCGAGGCTTGAACTTTCCCGCGCACCGTTTTTCATAAAGCCATTGGACTGGATCAGTTATTAGAGCAGAATCCTGACCATCAAGAAACTGAAACATAGTTGTGTCGTGGTTACAAGCCGTCTAAGACATGTTCAACGATTTGTACACTGATAATCATGTGATGTCCGAATCACTTCTTTTCCTCCCTTCACTTTCGTCTTGAGGGTTGCATCGAACAGGGCCAGGCAGAGTCTCCGAACGAAGGAGCTGACAGCTGACTTCAAGTGCCAACCATCCAGCAGTCAGCTCCGCCGCCCTGTTCCCCAATCATGAGGAGCACTGATGGAAAGCCCACTGAAAGGACAGCATCGCGTCGACCGCTGCACCCGTGGCGAACTGGGAGTCAACAGCGATGCGCTTGATCACAGGCCACAGCTCGTCGAGCGAGGACGCTAGCAAACTCCAGCCGTTCGCGCGGGCCATGCTGAGATCGCCGCGACTGATCTTATCAGAGAGGTTGGCGCCACTGCTAACCCACTCGAAATGGCCGTGCCATCGCATGCGTATCATCAGAGAATGAAACCAGGAAAGAAACCGGTTGATTGCTTCATCCCGGCCATAGCCCTTACGCAAGGCCGACAGCCCCGAGCGGTTGTCACAGAAAGAAACCCCAAACTCACTAATGCGATCCTTATTCGTCATGAGACTAATTGCTTGCCCAAAAATTTCCAGAAAATAAATGTAAGCTCTGCGGGAGCTGAAGAGGGCCAGCACGTCGGGTGGCCCCTTTCCGTGGCCGACTGTGACTTCAGTGCCTGTCCTGCACGGGAAACCCCAGCCGTTGGCCGCCAAGTGCATCCTGGCGGGCCAAGCTGTGGGAGGCTCATCACGAGTGACCGACCACCTGCGATCCCCAAGCTCGAAGAAAGCAGCGTAAAGCACGGAGACCGAAACGTTGGCTTTCGAGAAAGGGATGAACCTCGGCAGCGGGCTAGAAAGAAGAGCGCGCAGGCACTCCAGCGCCGACCTAAGACCACCATTCAATGTCTGAGCGCTGTCTCGATGACCTCTGGCGCGGCCATGCAAAGGTCGGGCAAGAGAACTTCCTATCCTACCCCAGAGGGAAGTGCTGAGAAAGCCGATCTTTCCGGCCAGCTTGGCCGCTGTCTCTGGTGACAAGAAGTCTGTCACCAACGCATGACGCACCTCCGCGAGAATCTTGGAAACTCGGCTCTGCGCGGGCTCGACCAGCACGCCGGAGTCCTGAACCCGAACAATGACTCCTTGAAGTTTTTGTAGGACTGCAGGTGGTTGCGCCTTGGTGTCTTTCAGCCTGAAACCCAGCAGTTGGCAAAAACAAGCGAACGCCCTGTAGCTGGAGCCTGCAGTGCTACGGGGATCCACACTCCCCAAATCATCGACATAATGAATGACAGGGATCGCCAGGAGATTCCTGGATAACCAAATCAAGGCATCAGTGATTCTGTTGAAATGGAAAACACTTGCTGTAGCACCGAACGGCATGACCCTGTGACGCCACAGGGTCGGGCCTGCTGGGGTCATGACTATGACATAGCAGTGAGAAGGCTCGGACACAGGATACTGGCGATAGGCTGATTGCAAGTCCTGTGCCCATATCATGGAGAACTCACCTCGGCTCGCGAGATAACGAACCATGGCCACATAAACGGCAATGTCATCGTGTGGGGGCACGTCTGAAGCAGAGATGGTATCGTTATGGTGGGATCTCCTATAGTCTTCGCACCTGCGCACTTTGCGACTCCCATCGGAGCCCTGTTGCACAACAGAGAACGCCCAAGCAGCGAACGGCTCGGCGTCAGGGCATGCAAGGAGCTTGTCGAACCCTGGAGCATCCGCCACCGCGACTGTCTGTCGCGACCAGGCCTCAGGGGCTCTGAACGGGCCCTCCATGCGGCCCTCGGTCACTTCTTGCATCACCTCCTTCAGAAGACACTGCCACTCAGCATCGGGTCGCTGTATCTGAAGCCGCTGTTCTACATGATGCCGTTTGAGCTCGCTGAAAGTGGACAAAGAGATGGGCTCCTGATATTTACCGTCAACCCTGGGCAGCCATCCAGGTGAAGGTCTGAGCCTTCCGAGCATCGGAAAGCCGTCGCGGAGCTCAGCAGCCAAGGCCTCGCAATCCGGATAGCCACAGCCTCGGATCAGCTCAAGAAACACTGGAATCTGCAAGTAGCCGCCGGATGAATCAAGACGATATGCGGCCTGAACATGAGGCTTCAGAGAATTGAACCACGCATCGGACTCGTCTTTGCGTGAATGCACGAGCGCTTGCAGGCTCTCCAAAACAGACCGGCGGTACTGATCTACGCCGGCCCCTAGGCTCGAAAGATGGCCATAAACGATCTCCAAAGCGCGGCTGACCCTAGGCTCACACAGCAGAGGATGCTCGGCCTTGTGGCTCAAAAGCCAATGCTCCCACTCGGAATCAGTGGGAGGCATACAAGCAAAAAGTGGCCAATCGGGGCCCCGACTCAAAGGCAAGGCTCGCTCACGACAGCCTTGCAACGCCTGAGACAAGAAGACGTCCTGTCCTTGTGCAATCTGGAGCCCCTTGACACCGGTGGGCTGAACGATCTGTGCAAGCACAAGCCAGATGACGAACTTGGCCACGCCGACGTGCCAACTGTTCCCCAAGAGACGATGGCGGTCCTTGGGGGTTACATTCTGTGCCCGGGTCGCTCCCGGGAAGAAATGATGGGCCTGTTCCTTGACTTCAGCCGGCAGAAGCTGACGCTCATGGGCAGCAGAAGTGACCATTGCAGTCTCACTGTAACTCCATGGAGCGTATTGTTTGCCGCCCTCGAGCCATCGACGGCGGGTTCCTGCATCGACCTCCCCACGAAGACTCCGAGGAGGCTCTCTGCCGGCGTCTGTGGTCGCCGGCGTGGTGAGGCAAGGGAGCTTGCGGCTCCCGTCCACGATGGAGGCATGAAAGCTGAGGCCAGTCATCTGGATCGCCTGTGGATCGTCACGCGGTGCATCTATGTGAAGTCGGTGCTGCCCGTGTGATTTGCTCCACCGGAGGGCCTTCCCAGTGACAGGGTTTGACTTGACGAGGCCGAAATCCAATCGCGTCCACCACAATCTCGGTTGGCTGATGAGGCCAAAATCGCTGGCGCAGATGATCGTAGCTGATGCCCGCATGCGGCGACTGAAGTAGTCGATGTCCTCCTTGCGATTCATCAGGACGTTCTCCACGACGATGTGCATGACCCTGTCTGAGAGCTCCGCTTCCAGCATCTCCAGGAAATCACAGAATGTTTGAAACAAACGCCCCGTCTTGCCCTGACGTCCATCGCCATCTTTAAGCCTCGAGTAATCGGGGCACGGGGGACCGGCCAGCACCAGGATGGGAGAGCCGGCT